CCCTCTGCGGGAAAATTGGCCAGCGCCCCCCCTCCCCGCTGCTTCGGACGCGCTGCCGAGGAGCCTGTCCCCGGGCTGGAAGTGTGCAGGCGAGCGGGGCTGTAACAGTGTGTGGGATTCCTAGGAAGGAGCGATGGCAAAAGGCCTCTGAGACCTCAGCTTGTCCGTCTCCCTCCCTGCCGCCCTCTGGCGAACAGTCCGTCCGCTGCCGGGTGCTGCCCTGTTGGGAGGAAGGATCATCCCGTGTGTCCCTCAGCCCAGGTCTTCTCCGGGCCTCAGTCGCTGTGCGCTGGTGAAACAACAGAGCGGCGCTTTCCTCGCTAGTAAGGGGGACGGTCTGCTCTCCGCCAAGCTCAGCAGCTGGGAACTGCCTCCTTGGCAGGGTGCGCTCTGCTCCCGCACACACGGACAACGGGTCGTATTCCCGCTCACCGGTGTCCCTAGCCCCGGCCGGCCGGCCGGCCTGCAGTCCTGACCTGTCCCGCCTCCTGCTGGCTGTTCCAGGCAGTGCTAGGAAATGGAGACGGCTCTTGGCTCCGCCCCATGGCCACTCTGTCACATGGCGGCGGCGTCTCACTCTTCGTCACGACACGTTTTAGAAACGGGCATCTGTCCGTCCGTCCCTCTGAGTCCGTTTGTCCGGAACGGTAGGAGCGAGGGCCGCCACACGTGGCAGGCAGCGTCCTCCTGTAGCTCACAGCAAGGGCAGGGGCTGGCTGTGCTGGAAGGAGGGGCATTTGCACTGCAGAGTGACCACGGGGGCAGCAAGGGGACCGGGACAGCTGTAACCCATTTGGGCCTGCAGGGGAAAGGGGCCACTCGCTACTGTGTCTTTCATGCCCCCTCCCCCGGCTGTGCCGCGACAGTAGCCATGGAGAGGCGCTTCTCACCTGGCCCCAAGCTGCTGGGGGTGTCCTCTCTCTCCCTGGGGCAGCCTGAACCCCTCCTCCCCAGCCCCACCCCAGAGTGCACGTGTGCTGTGCAGAGCCTCTGGGGGCTGGCACCGTGCAGCAGCCTGGGTTCTCCAGGGGCTGATTCAGCAGCAGCGACGCTGACTGACGAGAGAGTAGCTGAGGGGGTGGGGCAGGGACCGGGCGGAGGGCTCCTGCCGCAACGTCTGCCCCACACACTCCTCATCTGGCCCCCATCGTCTCGTATCTGGGGGCCTCCCAGTCTGTAGTCTACCCCCGCGTGCCTGTGTGCAGAGCGGAGCCGAGGCCCAGAGAGACTGAGGGACTCACCCAAGGTCACACGGGACGTCTGTGGCGGAGCAGGGAGTTCAGCCCAGGCCTCCCAAGACGTCCACTGGTGACCCATTCTTTGTGTGGGGGGTTAAATTCCCTCCCCCTGCTTCTCTAAGGCCAGTCGAGCTGCAGAGCCCCCAGTGGTCCCTGGACTCGCTCATCAGGTTCATGGGACCTTCCTTGCACTCGGCTCTGAGAGCTGCAAGTTTGTGCCTTGGCCCAGCTAGCTAGGCCTCCCCTTGTGCTGGGCCAGACATCCCTGCCCCAGGGTTGAATGAGCTTTCGTCCGGGCTCCCTGCTCCTGCGGCGTTCCCTGTTAGCCCTGCCCCTGCAGCGTTTCAGGGAGCCCGAAGCCCCGTGACTCGCCCTCGCCCCCGGTGTGAGCAGAGGCAGTTTTGCTCTGGCGCTGGACCAGCTGTTGAGTCCTCCATGCTGCAGACAGATGATGCCGTCACAGCGCTGTCCATGCGAGCTAACCCGCTTGGCTGCACGGCCCTGTTACCGCCACGGTCCCCCGATGGGTTCGCCTCCCCCCCACTCTCTTACTTTACCTGCCTTTGGGCGTCCCCTCTCTCTGCTGCCCCCCTCTGTTCCGTTCACGTCTGGCCGAGCTGCGCCGCTGTGAAAGCATCAAGGAGGCACTAGACAAACCCCTGCGTGAGGGGGGGAGGGGGGGGTAGAGGATTTGCAGCTCGACGCAGAGGAGTTGGTCATAGGCAGTAACAGCCAGATCCACGCTGCCTCCCTGCAGGGTTGCTGGGCTCAGCAGCTGAATCCGAGCCATCCTTCTCGCCCTCCTCAGACTTGGCTGCTGTGCAAATCGCTGCCTCCTCCCCTGAGAAAGTTGCGCTGTCTAGAGCGCACCACAGACCTATGGAATGGCTCTCTCCCTCTGCCCTTCCAAGCAGTGTCCAGGACCTACAACCCTCTCAGTTTAGTGCTCTCCGTGCCAAGGGATTCGGGGTGCTGTGCAGCCTGCGTGGGCCAGGCCGGCCGCTAGAGGATGCATTTACCTGGAACCTCCGTGGCAGTGTCCATGCCAGCTGTTCATGGTTTACATTTGCCTGGCCTCCATACGCGGGTAGGCCCTTTATCCCTTTCTCACGCCTGGCCCAGCATCCCGGCTCTCCCAAGCAAGCGCCCCAGAGAAGAATGGTAAGAGCGGTAGGACCTGGTGTGCCTGGCATCACCCGTGCCCCTGGAATCGGAAGCCGTGCCCAGCAGTTGTGCCCAAGGAAGGCGTGAGAGCTGCACATCTGCTCGGGGCACAGTCTGCTGCAGGAAGGGCAGAAAAGCTCCCCGCTAGAGCTGTGTGGAGTCCAGAGGATCCTGTGAAATCTCCTGTTGCCTGTTCTGAATCGGGAGCCTGCAGGGACTTGGGAAATGAAGTACTCCTGCCAACTGCCCAGCCGAACCCAGCGCTCCAAACGCAGCTCTGCTACAGGGAATGGACAGGAGATGGGTAAAGAGACTGGGACAGTGCCTTGCTGGGGAGGGCACACTTCCGCTGCAGCTGTCCGAGTTGCCCATGTGTAGGCCAGGTCGTTGGGGCCAGTGATTTTCCTCTCCGTGGAAACACTGCGTTTGAAGGTAGCTGTATTGTCCTCCGCCTTGTCCCTGAAGCTTGGCGTTCTCTTCCAAACAGGAGATCAAGAAACTCAAGGAGCTGATGAGTGCGACGGAGAAGATCCGCCGGGAGAAATGGATCGACGAGAAAACCAAGAAGATCAAAGAAATCACCGTGAAAGGTACAAAGGGCTCCTGTCCCTGGCGAGATGTGAAAGCCAGCGTGTGCGTGTGTCTCTCTCTCCTCCCCTCTCCCCCCCCCCCCTCTGGCACCCCCACACGCA